ATTCTTTTACCAATCCTTTTTATATTATTTATGCACTTGAAAAATCGATTATATCAATTATATCGTTTGACTTTTTTTCAGCTCAAAACAGACCGTGATTTTGATTGTCTCCGAAAGTAAAACTCTCACAGAAAAGTTAACATTTATGATGTTTAACAATAGAGAAAAAAAATGAACTTTACGGTAAAAGTTTTTTGAATACGCTAGGTTCAATAGTTTTTTAAATATCAACATAAGAAGAAAATCGATCAAATAAGCGTGGCCAACTACGTAGCGTCTTTGAGTGGATCGCAAAGTTAATAAGCAGTTACTAAGCAGTTACTAGACATTCGTAAGATAGAATAATGTTTAATATCATTCAACTCGAAATCGAAGAAATGCGGAACAGTGTGTTTTGCTACCTGCCCACGAATACGAATCCCAATAACTAAATAGTAGCGCTCGTAAACACGTGGTGCACTATCGTAAACACTTGACGTACATACCAGCCGCGATACGTATGTATGTACGTAAGCTCAAGGCTACAACAGCAATAACAGTCTGATTATGATGAAATTCAACACATATGACAAATCAAATTTAATTTCCACGAATTGAACATTATATTTTATCTTTAAATCTCTATTATCATACATTTGCTCTTTCATTTGGAGTGCATTTGTTTGGATGCTTATGAGCTGTAAGCATCGTTTTATTTTTCCCTTTGACATATATGAATAATAAAAATTTTTTTTCTCTTAGCTTCTTTTATTATATTAAAATATTAGATATTTATTAAAATTTTTTTAATAAATAGAAAAATATCTTAGCAAAAGTATCTTAAGTAGATCTTCTTAACGCTCTTAAAATACATAATTTGTTTATATTACATATTATTTCATAAGCGGAATATTTATTTTAGCATAAGTTTATAAGTATATAAGTATATAAGTATATTCTCAAGACAATGGCTATACTGAAAATTAATAATTATTTTATCATATCATTCAATCAATATTTATTACATTATAAGCGCTTTTTTTTAATTAACAATCAGATATTATAAATGCAAAAGTAACTTTGTAGACAATTGAATAGAATATATGTTAAATATTGCGCATTTCTTAATTCTGATCTTTCAACCTTTATTATTTGGCATTTTTATTATTTAATCGATATTTATATAATCATACCTATGTACAGCAATCACTTAGTCGATATTCGTTCGTTTATTTTGTCAGAAAGAATAGTCTTATGTTAAGGAATAAAACAACATTAAAGTGTCTGTGTTGATATATTTTTATTTTTCATTTTTATATAAGTTCATTCATTTATGACAATGAGTAAGATTAATATTGATCCAACTAAATCAATCGCGGCGTTCTACGTAGAACAAAGTATATTCTTGACAGGCGGCACAAGATTTTTGGGCAAAGTATTCATCGAAAAAGTATTACGATCCTGCAAGGACATTCGCGAAATATTCGTCCTAATTCGTCCAAAAAAGGGAATAAATATCAATGAAAGGCTTGAAAAGATGCTGAGTTTACCGGTAAAAATCATGAATATATTACATATTTACATATTTTTACCTTTTCAATATTACAATTAAAAATATGTTCATTTTAAATAACATATAAAATATAAAAATAAGACATCGTTTTATTCTTAATAATTTTATATTTTATTTTGTTTCTTTTTTTTTTATTTAATTAAATACTTTAGTAAATAATTTCTCAATATCCCTAGTAGAAATTTTATGCATTTTTTGAACAGTTATTGACTAGTTACATTAACTTTCGTCTAATAACTGAAAAAGAAATTACTTTGGATTCCAAACAAGATTATATAACGCTTTTCCTTCAGTTCCTGTCCACAAAAAACGCACAAAATCTGAACCCATCTAGCGAACAAAAAAACAATAATAGTGATTTAATTATAATTACACATTTATATACATAGAATAACTTTAAAAAATATGTTCAACAACAAAGTTGTGCAATATATTAGTTTATTCAACGATTTATTACATATAATCATGTTAATATATTTCCTTCATTTATATTATTTATTTATTGTTGTTATTACAACTTTATAATACATAGTTGTTGCATTATTTATCCTCAAATTTCTAAATTGCCGTTATGACTTTGTTCTCTGTGTATATTATGAGTGTGTGTATATTATGAAAAATTAATAAGAAAGCTCATTTCCGATAAAATTTTATTTATACAATTTCTTCTTATGATATTTATTATATAAAAAAAATAATCATTATGCAATAAAATTTAAGATCTTACATTAAATATATAAAAACACATATCAAATATATATTATATATGATGCGTCGTAAATAAAGAAAACTTTCTCATTAATTTTTCGCTAAGTTTGTAGTAATGTAACTTATACAATGAAATATTTTAATTCAGCTATTCGACAGACTTCGGAACGAACAGCCTTCTAGTTTTAAAAAGTTAATTCCCATTTTGGGTGATTCGAGTGAAAAGGAATTAGGCTTATCTCTAAGCGACAAACAAATGTTAGTCGAAAGAGTGACTATAATAGTCCATGCTGCAGCGAGTGTTAGATTTAACGAAAGCCTAAAATCTGCCATTCTTGTTAATACCAGATCTACGAGAGATATTTGTATTTTAGCAGAAAATATGAAGAATTTGGTGGTATATTAATGCGACTTCTTATCTTACATTTGTGCACATAAATAATCTATTGTTATTTAAAAGTATTTTATTATTTTATTATTTAAAAGTATTTATAATACATGTGATATCTGTCATACTCAATCAGCCATTTTTTTAAAGTTTTTTTTTTTTTTATTACTCTTTTCATGATGATATTTTAACGAATTGATGATATTTTATTAATTAACTGTTTTATAATCATTATCAATATCTCATAAATATAAAACGAAAGCGTGAATTTAAATTTGTCATTAAGAGATGTTAATTATATGTTAACGCAGTATTATGAATAGAAATGTAATCGTATAATGTTTTAAATTTTTGTTTTATTGAAAAGGCATTAATATACGTTAGCACGGCATACGCGCAAACAAATAATCGCGTTATAGAAGAAAAGGCATATCCACCTAAAGCCGATTGGCGAAAGACGATCCAGATCGCAGAAGTATTAGATAATCATATTTTAAATACTTTTACAGATAAGTAAGTCGTGAAAACGGTAAAACATTAAACATATGATTTACGTTTATAAATTTCAAATATGTCTTTTTTTAATTATAAACTTGATAGATACATGAATAATGCCATCAATACTTATACTTTCTCCAAGAACTTAGCGGAAGGTGTTATAAAGGATTATTCTGCATCATTACCTTGCGCAATTGTCAGACCAACTATGGGTATTGTAATTTTTTTAAATATTACTTATTAATTAATAATATACAGATTTAATTTTTTTATAAATTTATATATAAATATTTAATTTTTATAATAGCAATTATTTATTATATCATATGTTTTATATACATATATATATATATATATATATATATATATATTATAGA